GAATAAAAGTTACGCCTTCTTTCTTTGCGTGAACATTTGGGCGGCGTTATGCAAATCTTCCCACATCGTGACGTATAAACATGTGGGGGCGTGTTAGAACGAGCCGTTTTAGGTAGGCGTGGTTGACTCCACGAGAGCTTGTAACACTCCAAAGAGAAAGGAAAAATTTAAATCGCATCATATGACCCCTTTAAACTGGCTTAACTTGGCAACTTGCTGAAATAATTTTATTTCAGTTAAAGATTTTTTTTTTTCAAGTAACGATAATATAATGGGATATAATAATGCTGAATATCATTTAGAATATCATGTGGTTACATTGAAATATAATCATATTGATTATATTTAATGCACATTCGTATTTTTTGCAGGAAATCCAATGTTGTGGTTGAGGCCCGGGCGGTAGCTATGAGGATCTTCGAGGACTATACTCAGTCCTGGCACTGGATACTGCTGTAAGCATGTGATATTCTAGGTTCATTTTATTTCCTCTCCATTCAGTGTTTGGTTATGGCAGTCTGATTTAGTGTTTGTGAGTTCTAGTGTTTACTAGATGAATTACACTTGCATTGATCAAATCTCTGTGCGGTCTGTTTCAGTGGCTTGGTGATCGCCATGCTGGTCAGTCTGATGTTTATTCTCCTCTTGCGCTGTCTGGCTGGAGTCATGGTCTGGGTTATGATCATTATGGTCGTCATTGTTATTGGATACGGTAAGGGTTCTTGTCTTGTCTACAGCTCTCAAATAACATTATGTTTCTCGTACATGTTTATCCTAATTACCAAACACTGTCTACTTTTTCTGTTTAACCTTAACACATTTATACTTATACTCTAAAATCAAGAGAAAATTAATTAAAAATATATATATTTAGCTTCAAGAGCTTGAAGTCTGCTCCTGGACGTTTTATTCACTGTAACTCTCATCATCATCATCAATGATGATTTTCATAAGATTTCCATTACTGTATTGTAGTAATGTCATACTTCACTGTATTACAGAAAAATAGTGCAATATTACAAAGAATTTGTATATATTTCATCTGTTTATCTCCTCTCCTCATTCTCTTCAGGTATTTTCCATTGTTACATGCAGTACGCCAGTCTGAAAGGACAAGCAGGTTCTGACGTCACTATCAAGGATCTAGGTCTACAGACAGACTTTTCTGTGTACTTACAGATTCAGCAGACCTGGCTTGCCTTCAGTGAGTTTTTATATCAGTTATGTCACTTATTTGCAATACAAAAATGAATGCACGGCCATTCAAAAGTTTAAGATAAGTACGATAAGGCTGCATGTATTTGATCAAAACTACATTAAGAACAGTAATATTCTGAAATATTATTACAATTTAAAATAATTGTTTACTATTTTAATACATATTAAAATGTCATTTATTCCAGTAATGGCAAAACTTAATTTTCAGCATCACTACTCCGGTCTTCAGTGTCACATGATCCTTTAGAAATCTTTTTTTTTTTCACTTTGATTAATTTTATGCATCCTTGCAAAAATAAATATAGTAATTTCTTTTTAAAAGTATTACTGGCCCCAAACTTTTGAATGGTAGTGTATACATACATATTCAGTAAATAAGTGATCAATTTGTGCACTTAAATGAACCTCAATATGTACCTGTTTTCTTTGTCACCTTTAATTTTCATTACATTCTACTGTGTCCTGTCCTCTTTTATCGCCACACAGTGATTATCCTGTGTATTGTGGAAGTGGTCATCATCCTTCTCCTCATCTTCCTCAGGAAGAGGCTCCTCATTGCTATTGCTCTCATCAAAGAGGCCAGCAAGTCAGTCTACTTTCTTACTGTAGAGCAAACCGTGTTTTTAGACTTGTTGCTGGCGTTGTTTGGTCTCATATTCCGTATTACTGCTTTCTTTAGGTACTCTAATAGCATTAGCAGCTAAACAGCAGTGTTATCCTCAGTGTGATGGATTAACTGTGGCTTAAAGTCATGAAATAATAATTAGGTTAACTGGGAGTGTTAGACAGGAAGTCCTAATAACCACATCTATTTTTCAGGGCCATCGGTCATGTGATGTCATCACTGTTCTACCCCCTGCTGACCTTTGCCCTACTGTCTTTAGTCATCGCATACTGGGGCATCACCGCCGTGTATCCTAAAGAAAATAATGCAATCACATCATAAAAAATAGACATAGGCATCACTACCTTATCATTACCTTAAACACTGTAGTTTGAAATGTTGATAACGTGAATTTGGTTTCACGGAAACATGATATCCTTAACTATTGATTAGGTTTTTGTCAACCTCCAATGAGCCAGTATACAAGGTTTTCAATACAACCGAATGTATGTATTCCAGAGACACCTGCAACCCTGAGGTTAGTGTCTTTTTATGCTAATTTTTATTGAATTATGTTGAACAGTAGTGTATGTCTTACTAGTTATAGCATATTTTGCAGAACAATGCTCGATAAATGCATATATTTTATAGAGTTGCATTGATTTGATTCTCTCCACAGACTTTCAACAGCTCAAATATCACCACTGAATGTCCTGATGCTGAGTGTCTGTTTGCGTTTTATGGAGGAGAGACGTTATACCACAAGTACCTGATTCTGTTCCAGTTCTATAATTTATTCCTCTTCTTCTGGTGTGCCAACTTCGTGACAGCATTGGGCCAGGTCACACTGGCAGGGGCCTTTGCCTCCTACTACTGGGCCTTCAAAAAGCCAGACGACATCCCAGCTTTCCCTGTCTTCAACTCTTTGGGACGGGCCCTCAGGTGTGTGACGAGAGAAATAGTTGCCAGTTTTTAGCACACTTTGCAATAAATTACATTTTTGTATGCTCTATATCACACACTTATTTTTCAGGTATCACACTGGCTCTCTTGCATTTGGTTCCCTCATTCTTGCCATCGTTCAGGTCATCAGGGTCATATTGGAGTATGTGGATCAGAAGCTGAAAGGTCTCACTACTTCAGTGTTTCCAGCTCAGATTTCTTTTAATTATCTTAAAATGTATTTTGATCTTGATTCTATCTCACGTTTGGCAAATATTACATGCTGACTGACAACCAAAAAGTCTAAAATACATCAAAGAAATAACTGGGAAGTAATTATGGAATACTTCATCCATTGCTTTCTGTCTGTTATGTGCGTTTGAATCTTGATTCGCTTCCTCCAGGTGCCCAGAATAAATGTGCAAAATTCCTACTCAGCTGCCTAAAGTGCTGCTTCTGGTTGTATCTCGGCCAAATATTGTCCTATCCTAATAAACCTTACATCAATGGAAAGCTTATTTATTCAATCTCAATTTCAAAAAATTGACCCGTATGACTGGATTTGTGGTCCAGGGTCACATTTATGTTATATACCAGATCATATATAACCATATGTGACCCTGGACCACAAAACCAGTCTTATGTCGCTGGGATATATTTGTAGCAATAGCCAAAAATACATTGTATGGGTCAAAATTATTGATTTTTCTTTTATGCCAAAAATCATTAGGATATTAAGTAAAGATCATGTTCCATTAAGATATTTTATAAATGTCCTACTGTAAATATATTAAAACTTAATTTTTGATTAGTAATATGCATTGCTAAAGACTTCATTTGGACAATTTAAAGGTGATTTTCTCAATATTTTGATTTTTTTTGCAGATTCCAGATTTTCAAATAGTTGTATCTCAGCCAAATATTGTCCTATCCTAACAAACATCCTACCTAACAAATATTGTCCTATCCAAACCATACATCAATGGAAAGCTTATTTATTCAGCTTTCAGATGATGCATAAATTTCAATTTCGGAAAAATTTACCCTTATGACTGGTTTGTGGTTGTGACCCTTTGTGGTCCAGGGTCACATATATACCATACATATAAGTTATATACCATACCATCATATAACCATATATACCATACATATGTTTTTTGAGAGTGTAGAGAAAACCGATTTTGTCATCCACACTGATTCATAGGAGTGGGCAATCACTGCTCATTGCCATTTCCATGGTAACAGCGGCTTATCTGATTGGTGGAGCTTTTTCAGGACATAGGTTATGTAATTCTCAATTGGCTATTAAACACGTTTTTTGAAATCACATTTATGGCTTCTACAGAAGCACATATCATTGTTTCCTCAGAGCTCATGGTTTGTCTTTAAGGCATTTCTGTATGGAGAAAATGACTGGGATTTTACTTGTGGGACTCACTGTTGACATATCTGCATATCACAAATGCTTACAGGGGCTTTTGGCTTGCTTCATGTCTAACCATTTCCTTCTTTCTCTCTCTTTTTCTCTCTTCAACATGATTTTGTCCAATCATGTCCTTGTGCTCCTTTCCGCTACGTGCTTTGTCAAAACACTAACATTTCAAAATAACCATCACACGCAAATAAAAAACTCAAGGTGAAGATCTGGAGAGAAATGACGGTTCCTCCGACAAACCGTTTTTCATGTCCCCCGAGCTGCACCAGATTTTGTCAATTGAAAAAAGCACAGAGGAAACGGACCGTGCCGATGTACCCGTCGTACAGGTGCAAGCCGAGGAGGAAATCCCGCTGCAGGAGAATGGAGAGGTGCAGCTTAAAGAGCAGGGCGTCCTAAAGCAGGAGCAGGAAGAAGAGACACCACTAAACCAGGAGATGCACATTGAAGTGCCGCCCCAAGAAACACAACCTCCAGAGGCACCCGCAGCCGACGAGGAGAAACCCGAAGAGCAGGTTACAACGCAAGAGCCTGAACCGCCACAAGTGACCCCAAAACAAAACGGACCCCAAGAGGTGGACGCTGAGGACAAGGAGGAGCAGGTGGCCCAACCTCAAGCAGAACCACCACAGGCCCAGAACCAACAAGAACAGGAACCAGAGGAACCGAAGCCTCAAGAAAACGGACCTCAAGAGAGCGAGACCCTGCTCACCCCTCAGGAGTAGCTGGACAACTGAAGGTGGAGTCGTTAAACGTTTCAGAGAAGCCTACTGATTTGGGAACTGGTGCACTTTGGTGGCTTTGAGAAGCCATTAGTATACATCGGAAAGTACCTCCTTCATTCGCGTCATAATGTTTACTCAATCAATCAATTTTGAGAACTGTCTCTTAATCAATAATCACTGGTCATAATGAATGGCATGACACAAAATTGGACAGAAACAGGCTTGTACTCGAAGTATGAGCTGTTTGATTGACAACTGGTTATGTGAACCTAAACCCTATTAGATATGCCTACATAGCACTTGTAGAATGTGACTGTGTTTGTGTTTTATGTAGAACGTTTTAATGTAAGGACATATAAAAGTGTAATGTAGGTGCTTGACTTGTGCCTAAATATCGTTACTTATCAATGTCTTAATCATACTGAAGAATGCAAAAAGATTTTGCAGCATCACTATGTTTACAGCAACAACAACAAAAAAACATCTGTTTACAGTGATACCAGCCAAGACCAAAACAATGTCATTTTGTAAGAATTTGTGCAAATGTATTTGAAAATTGTGTTAATTTTATGCCCTAATTTGATAATTGTATGATGCAGATGAACAAAAAATTTAAAAAGTGCCACCGAAAGCAAGTCAACTTAAAAACGAATCAATCAAAGAAAGAAAAAAAAATGTAACACCCTTCTATTTTGGTCTGCTGTGACTGGTTATTGTATCGACAGATTGCAACCTTTTCAATGCCTGATATTTGTCGCTGTTTGCTACTCTGTTGCCTCTTTTTCTACCTCTGTGCTTCACTTTTCTCAATCTTTGCATGTTGGTAATGTGATCTCCCAGTGCTTTAATAAATCGAACTCTCTCTTTGTTGAGATCTCAAGCCTTTTTTTGCTTTCAAGGCACTGCTACTATTGTTGCCATTTATACTTTTTGGCACATGTTTCATGTTAATTCGTGCTATTTTTTGTCTCAACCTAAATTATTCCAACAGTGGAGGATCTGGAACGCAATGATGGCACAGCGGACAGACCATACTTCATGCCAGAGAGACTGCTCTCCATCCTCAAGAAGTCCAATGAGGGGGTGAAAACAGTGGACTAAGGAAAGAAGGAAAGATTTATAGAGAAACAAAGAAGTGTAGGGACAGAAAAATAGAGATATTTGCCATACTTGCACTGATTTTATAGCTCAGGCACCAGTGAGTAATACCAGTCATTACAGCCAAAAGTGTTACATATTTGTTACTTTTGTTTTTGCTTATTACATGGGTTTGTATTTGTATACATTATGCTTTATTAGACTAGGCACAACTGTCCTAATATCTTTTTCAGTTTCCTTTGAATGTCTCTGTTACTGAATTACTTTAAATGCGTTAGGCCTATTCTCCTGATGACAGTTAATGATAACCATTTTTATACCTGACAACGTTTGAATATAATGAAATTTAATTTTGATATGTTTCTGCAGTGTTTTTCAGTGCGTCCATTTGACGTAGCCATTTTTGTGTTACTACTTGTATTGTTTGTTGCGGAGTGTAAATAATTCTGTGACGTTGGGAAGAACTAATAAATATTAATTAGGTCAAGAACGTAATGTATTATTTTCCGGGGCGTAATGGTACGTAACTTAATATTCATGAGACAACGATACTTAGTTCAGTTACTAGGCAACCAGTTGACAACACAAACGAGGCTCTTGTGGGCAAGGCTATAGTGGGGAAAGAAATCCATCTATAAACACCAATATAATAAATGTTCATAAAAATGCCCGCCACGTCTGTCTCAGAGGACATCGAGCCCCCTACCCATGATGAAATTTCGGAGCTCCAAAGAAAAATTCATCTTCTGAGTAAGTTTTTATTGTGGATTTCACCGTTTAAGCTGAAGCGGTTAAATTGCGGAAGTAACGTTAGTGGAGTAATGTTTCCATTGTTTTATTATTATTTTCATCATTAATTATTTATTCTCGAGGATGCAAGCAGTCAACTTGGAGTTATTGAAGTGGTTTTGTAACGGTTTAATACCTTTGTATTAATTTTAAATGAAACAAAGAGCTCAATAAAATTGTTTACAGAAATTTAATGTTGCATGACATTACACTCAACTTCACATTTTGCTCGATGAATGGTTGTTTTTCCCCCCACTGTCCACTAGATGGAGACTATTCGATAGCGCATATCGAAAACTCTCAGTCTGCCAAGAACATAGAAACTATCCTGCAGCTGAGACTTGGGAATGCAAACCTGCACAAGAAACAGCATGAGGTCATAAAACACATAAGTAATATTACAATTAAGCCATCATTTAAAGTATAGGTTTAACATATGTATTGATATGTATTGATGCATCCATTGGTCATGGTGTCCAGGGAGATGAACAAGTTATCAAGGATGCTTTTCTAGGCCATGGGATGGAGAAAGAATCTTTCAGGAACATGTCTGTAAAGGTGAGGTTAAATGGTTCGCCCAAAAATGTAAATGTATGCCATCCAAGGTTGTTTCTTCGTCAGAACAGAAATTTAACAGTACATCACTTGCTCACCAATGGATCCTCTGCAGTGAATGGGTGCCGTCAGAATGAGAGTCCAAACAGCTGATAAAAACATCACAATAATCCACAAGTAATCCATATGACTCCAGTCCGCAGTAAAAAGCTGTGTGTTTGTGATAAATCCATCAAGACATTTTTAACTTCAAACTTTCTTCTGGCTAAAATACGAGTCCTCTATCTATAATATTGCTTTCCCCAGTAAAAAATTGTCTCATCTGAATCAGGAGAGAAATATTCAAAGATCAAGCACCATTTAAAAGAAGAAAAAAAAACATTCCAAAGCAGGTGTTGGCAGATGTTGATGTGATAAGACTTTTCCACTGGAGAATGAGTTATGGATTATGGACTCATATTTTGGCCAGACGTGACAGTTTAAATTTAAAATACCTTAATGATAAATTTGTTTCTTACAAACAGCTTTTTATTTCATTAGGTGTTAATTGATGGACTGGAGTCATGTGGATTACTTGTGAATTTAGACTCTCATTCTGACGGCACCCATTCACTGCAGAGGATCCACTGGTGAGCAAGTGATGTACTGTAATGGTAAATTTCTCCAAATCTAGCCAAACAAACTCATCTACATCTTGGATTGCCTGAAGGTGGGTAAATTTTAAGCACATTTTCATTTTTTGGTTGAGACATTTCTTTATGGAAATCAATGTGTGGATGATTCAAGAAGTACTTAAAAAATCAAATTACAAATATGTGGAATATTTATGAAACAATAACTGAATGTTTTGGACAGTACATTTCTTACTACAAATAAAAAGTGAAATAAAAAATAAAATATAAAAATGTAATGTTTTGTACAGTGTTTTTATTTCAGTTATCTATTTCAGTTATTTACTTCAAATTAAAAATAAAAAATAAAAAAAATTCACTGCTGGCAAGAGCCCGGTAAATAGCTCATAGTTACATAATCACCTGCATATAATTTGTGGTCCAGAAAGTTGTTTTAGACTCTCCTCACTATTGACAGAGGTCTTTGTTGTGCAGGCAGCTCAGACGGTGCTGAAGAAGCAGGTGTGTGATCAAATGAAGAAGCAGAATGCTATGAAACACACCACTCAGACACAGAGGCAGCATTTAGAGGACTTGAAGTTCCTGATATTTAAGCCACAGAACAGTAGTCCTTTGCCTGACACCCAGAAAGGAGAGGAGGAAAAGGTAGAAATTGTCTTTTTGAATGAATATTGATGAATCTTAAAAAATATTTGTCCAAGATATTATTATTGTGTACCTGTTGTACAGAAACTGCGCATTCTGGAAAACAGTTTGGAGAAATCACAGCTGAAATACCATGAAGCAGTGCACATAACGCGAGGATACAGCAAGCTGAAGGAGCACCTACAGGTATCGGAGCAGCTAAAGACACAGCACAATAAACCCACAATGTTGTGTATAAAGCACGATACCTCATAAAGGTAATGGGAAAAAAGAAACCAATTATTTATGCAATTATTTAAATATGTTACAATATCATTTACCGTTTTTACTGTATTTTTGATCAAATAAATGCAGCCTTGGTAAGCATAAGAGACTTTCAAAAACATTAAAACATCTTACCAATCCCATTGACGTTTCTAATTATACTCTGTTCTGTTTCTTCAGGAAGAGAGTCTTACATTTCAACCTCAGCTGGACAAGATGGAGACAGAGGTCTATTGGCAGACACAAGTGCTCAGAGACCTACAGGTCATGAACAACAACGTTCTCCTGTTCAAGGATGCAGCCAAGGTAAAGACAAAGCATTTAATGAATAATTGAAAAATGTAATGAGATAATAAAGCATATGTGTAAGTATGCCAAAGTAAAGGTCATCCAAATATGATGCTGATAGTAATGTGTGTGTGTGTGTGTTTTCAGGCTGAGCTGCAGCTTCAGGAGGAGCAGGTGTACCGAGAGCGCAGAGAAAGAGAGAAAATCCTCTCCCGCTACAAAAAGCAGGCGGAGGAGAGGATGGATCAGGCAGAGAGGATGAAGAGAAGAGTGAGCATCATCTGCTGCAATTATATCTACAGCAACTATAATACAGCTAGCAATGCAATACTCTAATAGCATAAAAATATGTGTTATACTCAAAGCGCTTCTCATGTGAAGTGCACAGGAGACTGCAGTTCTCGCAATTGATGGTGATAGCATGTTGCTTAAGCTCACAACCCAAATATTGGTTAAAATACTGTTTTTTACTACCTTTAATAATTATAAGTATATACCGGTATATCTTTTTCAACATTTATTTTTGCCTTCTCTGTTCGGCCAAAAGTAAGTCTCTTAGATCGTTTTTGTCAAGTTTAACCAACCGTCTCTCCCCCATCTGACACATCCAGCCCCAGTGGGTGTCCATGAACCCTGATGAGCTGAGCAGTGAGGCCCCGCGCACTCCCACCACAGTAGGAGAGGAAGAAGAAGAATCCATCTCTACTTTTGAGGAAGCTTTCCAGCACGCCAAAGAGGCCACTGGAGTCACAGACTCACAGGTGAGGGCAGACAGTATTAACCCTATGAAGTCTACTGTATCATATATTTGATATACAAACTTATCAACATGATCAAAACTTTTTTATATTGATAGTAATATTTTACAATGAACACTTGATGCAACTTAGGTTAACTTCCATACAGCACTTTTTTTTCTTTTTTTTTTTGAAAAATCATGTTAAAATGGGAGTAACAAATATGACCCATTAGGCTTTTGAGGATTGTATTGTATTGCATTATGTTTTAAAACTAAAGAGCTTTTAACATAAAACTAAGCATTTGAATAACATCTTACTAAGTGACGTGACATGTGGCCAAGAATGGTGACCCATACTTGGAATTAGTGCTCTGCATTTAACCCATCCAAAGTGCACACACACAGCAGTGAACACACACCCGGAGCAGTGGGCAGCCAATTTTGCTGCGGCGGTGGTGGGAGAGAGTGCTGTACATTCACTCCCCCCACCTACAATCCATGCCAGTACGAGACTCGAACCCGCAACCTTTGGGTTACGAGTCCAACTCTCTAACCATTAGGCCACGACTTCCCACTAAGACATATCATTGGGAGAAACAGACTGAAAGCTAATATTTATATCATTTTATGTAAGTAGTCTGTTATACTGTTATAAAGATCTAATTGGTTTACTGTACATTACGAGCTGTCAGAATTTTTTGCCATATAAATATCAGGAATGCACTAAATTGCCTCTAAATAAAACTGAGGTGTTTTTCCTCCTTAAATATGACCTCCATATTCTCACTATATCATACTATATGAGCCATAACAGCCTGATGTATCAAATATGATACACAGCAAAAACACATCAACAAACTTAATTTAATATTTTGTCTAAATCTTCAATAAACTTCTATTTAAAAAAAAAAAAAAGATTGTTTTATATGACAGGCTTTACAGGATTAAACCCATAAAGAGTACTCTTTTTTTTTAATTTACCACCTTTAAATTGTTTTAAATGTATATAGATTCTTTATGTTCAGGTAAGAAGTTCTTGTGTTGAGCAATGTTTATTCATGATATCTCTTATAATAGGAAATAGTGGACAGGTTTATCTCTCAGGGAGAGACACAGGAACATTTGGAGAAAATGAAGGCTGAAAATGAGAGAATGCTGCTTGAACTGAAGGAAGAGAGGAGTATGTCACAGACTCAGTATCAGGATGTAAAATACTCACGAGAAACTGAATTCTCAAGGTGAGAGCAGACATTGTCTATGTTGTATGAATACTGCGGTATCACTTGACACGCTCTGTTATTGTGACTGAATGCTCTGGTCTAACCATTACATTTTCTCAATGGCATGATATAATAACTTTATTGTCATCGGTTAGCTCTCTAATTCTCTTTTTGATTGTTCAGTGTCCGACAGATCCTGCAGGACTGTGAGCATGACTTGCAGCAGGAGCAGCAGCATTGTGATGCAGCTAAAGATGGCCTGGAGAGACTCACACATACACTAAACACTGTCAAAGCAGGAGTGCAGCAGCTCAGTGACAAACTACAGCCCATACCCCTGGTATTAATGAATTCTGTCAAATCTGTTAAACATGCTCCACAAAACATGCCTTTTCGTCACCTGGGTAATGATGTGTTTTTAATAGAAGGTTTCTAAGAATTTTAGATTTCTATGTAGTTTCCTAGAACTTAAAGGGGTCAAAACTTTTTGTTCAAACTTGATTTTCTTCCCTGAGGTCCATTTATAATGTTAGTCAAGGTTTCTTATTACATTAATAACGGTTTCATTTATTTGCAATTTATTTGTCCTTTTCCACCCTCTCTGACCCTTAAATCGAAACAGGCTGTTAGCGAAAGTACATTTAAAGGGTTAGTTCACCCAAAAATGAAAATTGGCTTGTGTTTTACTCACCCTCGAAGCATCCTAGGTGTATATGACTTTCTTCTTTCAGACGAATCCAGTCGGAGTTATATTAAAAATTGTCCTGGCTATTCCAAGCTCTATCATTGCAGTCTGCGGGTGTTGCAGTTGAACAGTCCACAAGTTGTCAAATAAAGC